AATTAGATTTGGCAAAATGACTATGCACAGCAGAGTAAACTTCAGAATGAGGGGGGCATACGAGTATAAGAATAAGTTGTTGGAATGTCCGGAACAGTATAAATGTTTGAACTCCTTCGACTACTTGAAGAACTTTCAGGAATTAAAGGAGTATGCTCAGTTACTTCCTGATTTGATGAATGAATAACAATATCATGAGGCTGCTCATCAGAAACAGGAGAAGTCAACACTCCAGGAGAAGAAGACAATCTATCAATAGTTCTTGTCACATTTTTTGGTAAAAATCTTTCCAAATTAGTTAAAGTACTCTCACGATCAACACGAATAACAAAACTACCATACTCTACTAAACGTTTTAATTGTCCTTTACGTTTTCCTTTAGTGGACCACTTCATTCCTGGATCTTTTATGCGTACTTTATCATTACTGATAATTTCTTCAATAACACCACTTGCTTCTTTCAACATTTCATGGTCAGGTTGTTCAAATTCTACATATAATGTATCACCAACTTTAAGTGCATTACCAAGATCATCACCTATTACTACTTTTCCTTCTTCGATAACCCTTACTAAGCCAACTCCATCAACTCTTTTAACATCAAATGGCCTCGTAACTGGTATGCACCCAATCAGGGTCATAAGTGTACCGAAAATAGGATAATCGAAGTTGGATCGTGCGCTTAAAAAGTACACATATCTTGGACACTTTATAAAAATTGTAATTGCATCCATTAAAAAATTTCCATGAGGGGCGGCAATAAATAATATTGGAGTACCATCGTCGGGAGGAATATTTTCTGAATGAAATACACCATAATCACGATAAAAGACTTTAAATACTATATGAGTCAAAAAACGTAATATAACATAAAATGCAGTTCTCACAGTAGTAACGAATGACATGATTACTTAATATTTTTTTTTTCTTAAAAAAAAAAAAAAAAACAAAAAAAAAGAGATAAAAATTGATCAGGGGTTCACAAATGAAGATAAAAGATAAAACCGGTAGTTAAATCCTTTCACGCATATATAATTGATTTATCAACTATTTATAGTAATTTTATTGATAAGCCCAAATCTTACGTATACATACCTTAATCTTCATTTGAACTAGTTACAGCACGCAACCAAATGACATTAATAAAATTTTTTATATAGTTACATTGACAATAAATTGACATAATTCTTACTTTACTATTTTGGGGAAATTTTAATTCTTAATAATTTTGTGTTCCATAATGCATAAGTCCAATTAACATAGACAGAAACTTGCGGATCGCTGGTTTCTCGATATAAGATTAATGTTTGGGTCCATGGCAAAAAAAAAAAAAAAACTTGTACGTACGTATCAAACAGATTTATTATAGATTATTTTGAGCACATCTATTGCCTAATTTTTTTTTATTACATTACAAACAAATCACTCGTGTTTAAACTTTCTCACGAATGAAATAAATTGCAGATTTTCTGCACTTTATTCGATCAAATACATATTTTAATAATCCTATTTATGACAATATTAATGCTCCTTTTATTATAAATTTCGAAACTGCATGCCTTGACAATGCACTACTTTGTATTATACGTTGCAGGTGGAAATAGAGTTCCGAACCGGATGTAAAATTGTCACCCGGATCACCCGTATAATCTGAAATCGGGTGAACCGGTTGAAAAAGGTTGGAATA